AATGGTATCAACATGTATGTCATCATCTAATGGTATCAACATGTGTCATCTAATGGTATCAACATGTGTGTCATCATCTAATGGTATCAACATGTGTCATCATCTAATGGTATCAACATGTGTGTCATCATCTAATGGTATCAACATGTGTGTCATCTAATGGTATCAACATATGTGTCATCTAATGGTATCAACATGTGTGTCATCTAATGGTATCAACATGTGTGTCATCTAATGGTATCAACATGTGTGTCATCTAATGGTATCAACATATGTGTCATCTAATGGTATCAACATGTGTCATCTAATGGTATCAACATGTGTGTCATCTAATGGTATCAACATATGTGTCATCTAATGGTATCAACATGTGTGTCATCTGATGGTATCAACATGTGTGTCATCTAATGGTATCAACATGTATGTCATCATCTAATGGTATCAACATGTGTGTCATCTAATGGTATCAACATGTGTGTCATCTAATGGTATCAACATGTGTGTCATCTAATGGTATCAATGTGTGTCATCATCTAATGGTATCAACATGTGTGTCATCTAATGGTATCAATATGTGTGTCATCATCTAATGGTATCAACATGTGTGTCATCTAATGGTATCAACATGTGTGTCATCTAATGGTATCAACATGTGTGTCATCTAATGGTATCAACATGTGTGTCATCATCTAATGGTATCAACATGTGTGTCATCTAATGGTATCAACATGTGTGTCATCTAATGGGATCAACATGTGTGTCATCTAATGGTATCAACATGTGTGTCATCTAATGGTATCAACATGTGTGTCATCTAATGGTATCAACATGTGTGTCATCTAATGGTATCAACATGTGCGTCATCATCTAATGGTATCAACATGTGTGTCATCTAATGGTATCAACATGTGTGTCATCTAATGGAACCAACATGTGTGTCATCTGATGGTATCAACATGTGTGTCATCATCTAATGGTATCAACATGTGTGTCATCATCTAACGGTATCAACATGTGTCATCATCTAATGGTATCAACATGTGTGTCATCTAATGATATCAACATGTGTGTCATCATCTAATGGTATCAACATGTGTGTCATCTAATGGTATCAACATGTGCGTCATCTAATGGTATCAACATGTATGTCATCATCTAATGGTATCAACATGTGTGTCATCTAATGGTATCAACATGTGTGTCATCATCTAATGGTATCAACATGTGTCATCTAATGGTATCAACATATGTGTCATCTAATGGTATCAACATGTGTGTCATCTAATGGTATCAACATGTGTGTCATCTAATGGTATCAACATGTGTCATCTAATGGTATCAACATATGTGTCATCTAATGGTATCAACATGTGTGTCATCTAATGGTATCAACATGTGTGTCATCTAATGGTATCAACATGTGTGTCATCTAATGTGATCAACATGTGTGTCATCTAATGGTATCAACATGTGTGTCATCTAATTGTATCAACATGTGTGTCATCTAATGGTATCAACATGTGTGTCATCTAATGGTATCAACATGTGTGTCATCTAATGGTATCAACATGTGTGTCATCTAATGGAATCAACATGTGTGTCATCTAATGGAATCAACATGTGTGTCATCTAATGGAATCAACATGTGTGTCATCTAATGGGATCAACATGTGTGTCATCTAATGGTATCAACATGTGTGTCATCTAATGGTATCAACATGTGTGCCATGATCTAATGGTATCAACATGTGTGTCATCATCTAATGGTATCAACATGTGTGTCATCTAATGGTATCAACATGTGTGTCATCATCTAATGGTATCAACATGTGTGTCATCATCTAATGGTATCAACATGTGTGTCATCATCTAATGGTATCAACATGTGTGTCATCTAATGGTATTAACATGTGTGTCATCTAATGGTATCAACATGTGTGTCATCTAATGGTATCAACATGTGTGTCATCTATCGGTATCAACATGTGTGTCATCTAATGGTATCAACATGTGTGTCATCTGATGGTATCAACATGTGTGTCATCATCTAATGGTATCAACATGTGTGTCATCATCTAACGGTATCAACATGTGTCATCATCTAATGGTATCAACATGTGTGTCATCTAATGGTATCAACATGTGTGTCATCATCTAATGGTATCAACATGTGTGTCATCTAATGGTATCAACATGTGTGTCATCTAATGGTATCAACATGTGTGTCATCTAATGGTATCAACATGTGTGTCATCTGATGGTATCAACATGTGTGTCATCATCTAATGGTATCAACATGTGTGTCATCATCTAACGGTATCAACATGTGTCATCATCTAATGGTATCAACATGTGTGTCATCTAATGATATCAACATGTGTGTCATCAACTAATGGTATCAACATGTGTCATCATCTAATGGTATCAACATGTGTGTCATCTAATGGTATCAACATGTATGTCATCATCTAATGGTATCAACATGTGTCATCTAATGGTATCAACATGTGTGTCATCATCTAATGGTATCAACATGTGTCATCATCTAATGGTATCAACATGTGTGTCATCATCTAATGGTATCAACATGTGTGTCATCTAATGGTATCAACATATGTGTCATCTAATGGTATCAACATGTGTGTCATCTAATGGTATCAACATGTGTGTCATCTAATGGTATCAACATGTGTGTCATCTAATGGTATCAACATATGTGTCATCTAATGGTATCAACATGTGTCATCTAATGGTATCAACATGTGTGTCATCTAATGGTATCAACATATGTGTCATCTAATGGTATCAACATGTGTGTCATCTGATGGTATCAACATGTGTGTCATCTAATGGTATCAACATGTATGTCATCATCTAATGGTATCAACATGTGTGTCATCTAATGGTATCAACATGTGTGTCATCTAATGGTATCAACATGTGTGTCATCTAATGGTATCAATGTGTGTCATCATCTAATGGTATCAACATGTGTGTCATCTAATGGTATCAATATGTGTGTCATCATCTAATGGTATCAACATGTGTGTCATCTAATGGTATCAACATGTGTGTCATCTAATGGTATCAACATGTGTGTCATCTAATGGTATCAACATGTGTGTCATCATCTAATGGTATCAACATGTGTGTCATCTAATGGTATCAACATGTGTGTCATCTAATGGGATCAACATGTGTGTCATCTAATGGTATCAACATGTGTGTCATCTAATGGTATCAACATGTGTGTCATCTAATGGTATCAACATGTGTGTCATCTAATGGTATCAACATGTGCGTCATCATCTAATGGTATCAACATGTGTGTCATCTAATGGTATCAACATGTGTGTCATCTAATGGAACCAACATGTGTGTCATCTGATGGTATCAACATGTGTGTCATCATCTAATGGTATCAACATGTGTGTCATCATCTAACGGTATCAACATGTGTCATCATCTAATGGTATCAACATGTGTGTCATCTAATGATATCAACATGTGTGTCATCATCTAATGGTATCAACATGTGTGTCATCTAATGGTATCAACATGTGCGTCATCTAATGGTATCAACATGTGCGTCATCTAATGGTATCAACATGTATGTCATCATCTAATGGTATCAACATGTGTGTCATCTAATGGTATCAACATGTGTGTCATCATCTAATGGTATCAACATGTGTCATCTAATGGTATCAACATATGTGTCATCTAATGGTATCAACATGTGTGTCATCTAATGGTATCAACATGTGTGTCATCTAATGGTATCAACATGTGTCATCTAATGGTATCAACATATGTGTCATCTAATGGTATCAACATGTGTGTCATCTAATGGTATCAACATGTGTGTCATCTAATGGTATCAACATGTGTCATCTAATGGTTTCAACATGTGTGTCATCTAATGGTATCAACATGTATGTCATCTAAAGGTATCAACATGTGTGTCATCATCTAATGGTATCAACATGTGTGTCATCTAATGGTATCAACATGTGTGTCAGGATACTTCCCCTGAATTGATTGAGTTGATGAAGCTTAAAATTAACTCACGCACACATAAAAAATTATAGTTAGCTTTATCTGTCCAAACAATGGTTTCATAGCAAACTGAATGAAAGAAAATTTTGGTGACAAAGGAATATGATGAGACTGATTGAAGGGGTTAGTGGGATTTTTAAGCTGCATTATTAAACTAAACTGCTTGAGTACTTTTCCAATAATCCAAATTTGCAAAGATGATGTAAGGGATGTAATCAGATATTTTGCAGATCTTAAATCATTTTAAAAAATATATCAAATTCATTTTAATAAAATATAACAAGTTCATTTTCCACTTAGCACTCCAATTGTAAGACATACCAAGATACTAAAAATACACAATGTAAATAAAAGAAACCTACCAATGTAATAAAAGAAACCTACCAATGTAATAAAAGAAACCTACCAATGTAATAAAAGAAACCTACCAATGTAATAAAAGAACCTACCAATGTAATAAAAGAACCTACCAATGTAATAAAAGAACCTACCAATGTCATAAAAGAAACCTACCAATGTAATAAAAGAACCTACCAATGTAATAAAAGAAACTACCAATGTAATAAAAGAACCTACCAATGTAATAAAAGAACCTACCAATGTAATAAAAGAACCTACCAATGAAATAAAAGAACCTACCAATGTAATAAAAGTAACCTACCAATGTAATACAAGAAACCTACCAATGTAATAAAAGAACCTACCAATAAATAGAAGAAACCTACCAATGTAATAAAAGAAACCTACCAATGTAATACAAGAAACCTACCAATGTAATAAAAGAACCTATCAATGTACTAAAAGAAACCTACCAATGTAATAAAAGAACCTACCAATGTAATAAAAGAACCTACCAATGTAATAAAAGAAACCTACCAATGTAATAAAAGAACCTACCAATGTAATAAAAGAAATCTACCAATGTAATAGAAGAGACCTACCAATGTAATAGAAGACTAAATGTCTAGCCAAAAGATTGTGCAGGTCACAGAATGAGTTTTTGAAGACAGTCATCAGGTCATCTGTTTGGGACATCCAGAAAGACAAATGGTCAGCCAGATGGTCAGAGACAAACTGTGCAGCGTAGGATCCACCGTGGCCATCAAAGATACCAAAGTACAGCAACTCCGCTGTCAGCTCCTCTACAAATATACAAACAAGGGAAATTATCACATTGCAACTCCGCTGTCAGCTCCTCTACAAATATACAAACAAGGGAAATTATCACATTGCAACTCCGCTGTCAGCTCCTCTACAAATATACAAACAAGGGAAATTATCACATTGCAACTCCGCTGTCAGCTCCTCTACAAATATACAAACAAGGGAAATTATCACATTGCAACTCTGCTGTCAGCTCCTCTACAAATGCATGTACATATAGTTAGCCTGCATGTTCATCTAGTTAGCCTGCAAGTACATCTAGTTAGCCTGCATGTACATCTAGTTAGCCTGTATGTACATCTAGTTAGCCTACATGTACATCTAGTTAACCTGCATGTACATCTAGTTAGCCTGCATGTACATCTAGTTAGCCTACATCTAGATAGCCTGCATGTACATCTAGTTAGCCTGCATGTACATCTAGTTAGCCTGCATGTACATCTAGTTAGCCTACATCTAGTTAGCCTGCATGTACATCTAGTTAGCCTGCATGTACATCTAGTTAGCCTACATCTAGTTAGCCTGCATGTACATCTAGTTAGCCTACATCTAGTTAGCCTGCATGTACATCTAGTTAGCCTGCATGTACATCTAGTTAGCCTACATCTAGTTAGCCTGCATGTACATCTAGTTAGCCTGCATGTACATCTAGTTAGCCTGCATGTACATCTAGTTAGCCTGCATGTACATCTAGTTAGCCTGCATGTACATCTAGTTAGCCTGCATGTACATCTAGTTAGCCTGTATGTACATCTAGTAAGCCTGCATGTACATCTAGTTAGTCTGCATGTACATCTAGTTAGCCCACATCTAGTTAGCCTGCATGTACATCTAGTTAGCCTGCATGTACATCTAGTTAGCCTGTTATTTACAAATGAAGAATGAGAGCACTTGACGCTTAAATTTACCAACAACCCAACGATCTTCATTGACTTGACGTCTACCCAGGACAGATGAGACACCAATCTGTTCAACTGGTACCCGTGGAATGAGCTTTCCTTTCTTGACACTTTGCTCATAGAGAATAGGCAGACTCAAGCGGTTGTTCCAAGAGCCTAAGGTGTCAAAGTTAACTCCCCTAGTTGTGCTGCCCTTGTTTTCTGTTCAAACAAATTGGTTACATTAGCCGTCAACCACATACACGTTGATAACATTAGCTGTCAACCACATACAAGTTGATAACGTTAGCTGTCAACCACATACACGTTGATCACATTAGCCATCAACCACATACATGTTGATAACATTAGCCATCAACCACATACACATTGATAACATTAGCTGTCAACCACATACACGTTGATAACATTAGCCATCAACCACATACATGTTGATAACATTAGCCATCAACCACATACATGTTGATAACATTAGCCATCAACCACATACATGTTGATAACATTAGCCATCAACCACATACACGTTGATAACATTAGCCATCAACCACATACACGTTGATAACATTAGACATCAACCACATACACGTTGATAACATTAGACATCAACCACATACATGTTGATAACATTAGATTGAACTCTGACCTTTGAATAAGATTACCTGGGTCAGACATGTGACTGGCAGTTGCTCTAGGGTTCAAGGCCCATTTTACCAAGGCAGGTGGCCATTTGGTCACCTTGACCTCATTAAGAAAAGGCCAGCAGTGTCTGACACAATGAAATAATTGGGTCATTCACATTTATGCTGGTTAGATTTTGGATTGACTGTGAAAAAATGTAAGAAGCAAATGTGTCATTCTTTACTCCATAAAGTTTGGGTAGTGATGTCATTGTGCTAGGGTATCTATGTCATTGTGCTAGGGTATCTATGTCATTGTGCTGAGGTATCTGTCATTGTGTAATTGTACTAGGGTATCTATGTCATTGTACTAGGGTATCTATGTCATTGTGCCAGGGTATCTATGTCATTGTGCTAGGGTATCTGTCATTGTGCTGAGGTATCTATGTCATTGTGCTAGGGTATCTATGTCATTGTACTAGGGTATCTATGTCATTGTACTAGGGTATCTATATCATTGTGCTAGGGTATCTATGTCATTGTGCTAGGGTATCTATGTCATTGTACTAGGGTATCTATGTCATTGTGCTAGGGTATCTATGTCATTGTGCTAGGGTATCTATGTCATTGTGCTGGGGTATCTATGTCATTGTGCTAGGGTATCTATGTCATTGTGCTGGGGTATCTGTGTCATTGTGCTAGGGTATCTGTGTCATTGTGCTAGGGTATCTATGTCATTGTGCTAGGGTATCTATGTCATTGTGCTAGGGTATCTATGTCATTGTGCTAGGGTATCTATGTCATTGTGCTAGGGTATCTATGTCATTGTGCTAGGGTATCTATGTCATTGTGCTAGGGTATCTATGTCATTGTGCTAGGGTATCTATGTCATTGTGCTAGGGTATCTATGTCATTGTGCTGAGGTATCTGTCATTGTGTAATTGTACTAGGGTATCTATGTCATTGTGCCAGGGTATCTATGTCATTGTGCTAGGGTATCTGTCATTGTGCTGAGGTATCTATGTCATTGTGCTAGGGTATCTATGTCATTGTGCTGAGGTATCTGTCATTGTGTCATTGTACTAGGGTATCTATGTCATTGTGCTAGGGTATCTATGTCATTGTGCTAGGGTATCTATGTCATTGTGCTAGGGTATCTGTCATTGTGCTGAGGTATCTATGTCATTGTGCTAGGGTATCTATGTCATTGTGCTGAGGTATCTGTCATTGTACTAGGGTATCTATGTCATTATGCTAGGGTATCTGTCATTGTGCTGAGGTATCTATGTCATTGTGCTAGGGTATCTATGTCATTGTGCTGAGGTATCTATGTCATTGTACTAGGGTATCTATGTCATTGTGCTAGGGTATCTATGTCATTGTGCTAGGGTATCTATGTCATTGTGCTAGGGTATCTATGACATTGTGCTAGGGTATCTATGTCATTGTGCTGAGGTATCTGTCATTGTGTCATTGTGCTAGGGTATCTATGTCATTGTGCTAGGGTATCTATGTCATTGTGCTAGGGTATCTATGTCATTGTGTAATTGTACTAGGGTATCTATGTCATTGTGCTAGGGTATCTATGTCATTGTGCTAGGGTATCTATGTCATTGTGCTAGGGTATCTATGTCATTGTGCTAGGGTATCTATGTCATTGTGCTAGGGTATCTATGTCATTGTGCTAGGGTATCTATGTCATTGTGCTAGGGTATCTATGTCATTGTGTAATTGTACTAGGATATCTATGTCATTGTGCTAGGGTATCTATGTCATTGTGCTGAGGTATCTATGTCATTGTGTAATTGTACTAGGGTATCTATGTCATTGTGCTAGGGTATCTATGTCATTGTACTAGGGTATCTATGTCATTGTACTAGGGTATCTGTGTCATTGTGCTAGGGTATCTATGTCATTGTGCTAGGGTATCTATGTCATTGTACCAGGGTATCTATGTCATTGTGCTAGGGTATCTATGTCATTGTGTAATTGTGCTAGGGTATCTATGTCATTGTACCAGGGTATCTATGTCATTGTGCTAGGGTATCTATGTCATTGTGCTAGGGTATCTATGTCATTGTGCTGAGGTATCTATGTCATTGTGTAATTGTGCTAGGGTATCTATGTCATTGTGCTAGGGTATCTATGTCATTGTGCTGAGGTATCTATGTCATTGTGTAATTGTGCTAGGGTATCTATGTCATTGTACTAGGGTATCTATATCATTGTGCTAGGGTATCTATGTCATTGTACTAGGGTATCTATGTCATTGTGTAATTGTACTAGGATATCTATGTCATTGTGCTAGGGTATCTATGAAATTGTGCTAGGGTATCTATGTCATTGTGCTAGGGTATCTATGTCATTGTGCTAGGGTATCTATGACATTGTGCTAGGGTATCTATGTCATTGTGCTAGGGTATCTATGTCATTGTACTAGGGTATCTATGTCATTGTGCTAGGGTATCTATGTCATTGTGCTAGGGTATCTATGTCATTGTGCTGAGGTATCTGTCATTGTGTCATTGTACTAGGGTATCTATGTCATTGTGCTAGGGTATCTATGTCATTGTGCTGAGGTATCTGTCATTGTGTCATTGTACTAGGGTATCTATGTGATTGTGCTAGGGTATCTATGTCATTGTACTAGGGTATCTATGTCATTGTGCTAGGGTATCTATGTCATTGTGCTAGGGTATCTATGTCATTGTGTAATTGTACCAGGGTATCTATGTCATTGTGCTGAGGTATCTATGTCATTGTGCTAGGGTATCTATGTCATTGTGCTAGGGTATCTATGTCATTGTGTAATTGTACCAGGGTATCTATGTCATTGTGCTGAGGTATCTATGTCATTGTGCTAGGGTATCTATGTCATTGTGCTGAGGTATCTATGTCATTGTGCTGAGGTATCTATGTCAATGTGCTAGGGTATCTATGTCATTGTGCTGAGGTATCTATGTCATTGTGCTAGGGTATCTATGTCATTGTGCTAGGGTATCTATGTCATTGTGCTAGGGTATCTATGTCATTGTGCTAGGGTATCTATGTCATTGTGCTAGGGTATCTATGTCATTGTGCTAGGGTATCTATGTCATTGTGCTAGGGTATCTATGTCATTGTGCTAGGGTATCTATGTCATTGTGCTAGGGTATCTATGTCATTGTGCTAGGGTATCTATGTCATTGTGCTAGGGTATCTATGTCATTGTGCTAGGGTATCTATGACATTGTGCTAGGGTATCTATGTCATTGTGCTAGGGTATCTATGACATTGTGCTAGGGTATCTATGTCATTGTGCTAGGGTATCTATGTCATTGTGCTGGGGTATCTATGTCATTGTGTAATTGTACCAGGGTATCTATGTCATTGTGCTAGGGTATCTATGTCATTGTACTAGGGTATCTATGTCATTGTGCTAGGGTATCTATGTCATTGTGCTAGGGTATCTATGTCATTGTGTAATTGTACCAGGGTATCTATGTCATTGTGCTAGGGTATCTATGTCATTGTACTAGGGTATCTATGTCATTGTGCTAGGGTATCTATGACATTGTGCTAGGGTATCTATGTCATTGTGTAATTGTGCTAGGGTATCTATGTCATTGTGCTGGGGTATCTATGTCATTGTGCTAGGGTATCTATGTCATTGTGCTAGGGTATCTATGTCATTGTGCTAGGGTATCTATGTCATTGTGCTAGGGTATCTATGTCATTGTGCTAGGGTATCTATGTCATTGTGCTAGGGTATCTATGTCATTGTGCTAGGGTATCTATGTCATTGTGCTAGGGTATCTATGACATTGTGCTAGGGTATCTATGTCATTGTGCTAGGGTATCTATGACATTGTGCTAGGGTATCTATGTCATTGTGTAATTGTGCTAGGGTATCTATGTCATTGTGCTAGGGTATCTATGTCATTGTGCTAGGGTATCTAAGTCATTGTGCTAGGGTATCTATGTCATTGTGCTAGGGTATCTATGTCATTGTGCTGGGGTATCTATGTCATTGTGCTAGGGTATCTATGTCATTGTGCTGGGGTATCTGTGTCATTGTGCTGAGGTATCTGTGTCATTGTGCTAGGGTATCTATGTCATTGTGCTAGGGTATCTATGTCATTGTGCTGGGGTATCTGTGTCATTGTGCTAGGGTATCTATGTCATTGTGCTGGGGTATCTGTGTCATTGTACTAGTGTATCAAGTAACTTACTTGACTTAATACTTAAGTTGTTAGTTTGGCAAAGTCTCCACTACCTACTCAAAGCTATATATTCAATCAAATTAGGCAAGACAAATAACCAACTATCCAGATCTAATCTTCAGATAGAAATTCTACATCTATTGTATAGTTTGTTTGGCTAACAGCCAGCGTGTTTGTTTGTATCCATCTCACAGCCACAGCACTAGAAGCACTGGTCTATGACAAATTCCTGAAAGATACTAGCCTAAATGCTTTTTGCCTAAATGCTGTTTGCCCAAATGCTGTTTGCCTAAATGCTGTTTGCCCAAATGTTGTTTGCCCAAATGCTGTTTGCCCAAATGCTGTTTGCCCAAATGCTGTTTGCCCAAATACTGTTTGCCCAAATGCTGTTTGCCCAAATGCTGTTTGCCCAAATACTGTTTGCCCAAATGAACACTAGACAGGAAACGTCATGCTCCCTAGAAGCACATTAAAAAGATGGCTGCCTGTTTCATTTAAGTGGCAGAGGGATAAACTTATGATTATGAAGCCATTGTCAATTTTAGTAATAGGAACTAGATCAATCCGTTTCTATTGAAGTCTGTAAATTAAGAGTTGTTGAGTGTCTTACGTAATTTTTTTTTTTAAAGCAGCACTATAGTGAAAGTACCACTCTTAGTTAAATGTACTGAAAATAAGAAAATATAACTAATTTGCTTTCTATAATAAAAGCTTTGGTCGCTCATGAGATCTTTGACATATTTGCTGATGCTGTACTTAAAGAGGATTACATTTAGGTGCTACCAAGTGGGCTGATGCTGTACTTAAAGAGGATTATATCTAGGTGCTACCAAGTGGGCTGATGCTGTACTTAAAGAGGATTATATCTAGGTGCTACCAAGTGGGCTGATGCTGTACTTAAAGAGGATTATATCTAGGTGCTACCAAGTGGGCTGATGCTGTACTTAAAGAGGATTACATCTAGGTGCTACCAAGTGGGCTGATGCTGTACTTAAAGAGGATTACATCTAGGTGCTACCAAGTGGGCTGATGCTGTACTTAAAGAGGATTACATCTAGGTGCTACCAAGTGGGCTGATGCTGTACTTAAAGAGGATTACATTTAGGTGCTACCAAGCGGGCTGATGCTGTACTTAAAGAGGATTACATCTAGGTGCTACCAAGTGGGCTGATGCTGTACTTAAAGAGGATTACATTTAGGTGCTACCAAGTGGGCTGATGCTGTACTTAAAGAGGATTACATCTAGGTGCTACCAAGTGGGCTGATGCTGTACTTAAAGAGGATTACATTTAGGTGCTACCAAGCGGGCTGATGCTGTACTTAAAGAGGATTACATCTAGGTGCTACCAAGTGGGCTGATGCTGTACTTAAAGAGGATTACATCTAGGTGCTACCAAGTGGGCTGATGCTGTACTTAAAGAGGATTACATCTGGGTGCTACCAAGTGGGCTGATGCTGTACTTAAAGAGGATTACATTTAGGTGCTACCAAGCGGGCTGATGCTGTACTTAAAGAGGATTACATTTAGGTGCTACCAAGTGGGCTGATGCTGTACTTAAAGAGGATTACATCTAGGTGCTACCAAGTGGGCTGATGCTGTACTTAAAGAGGATTACATCTAGGTGCTACCAATCATGTATTTTTAGATACGTGACCTTATTTTTTTCGAGTGCTACCGAGTCACTATTTTAGGGGGCTAATTAAAACAAACCACAGTGTTCATGGGGGGAAAACTATTTTAAACTCTGCTTGGATAAAGCTCTGTTAATATCTCGCAGGACCCAAACCCAGAATGAGAGGAGGGTAAGATTAATTTCACAATGACATCTCAATCTTTTAATAATTGTCCTAAATAAACTTTGCTAAAATATTTACATTGATAAATCAAAAGCGAATTAAATGGAAATATGAATATCTTTCAAAAGCTTTGATGTTTATATTTTTTAACAATTAAACATGATTTTTTTTTCTGTTCATTCATTTGGCTTATACTAAAAAATTTAAAATATAGTAAATAGATTACATAATCAAGTTACGTATATCCTTTCGATTATATTTTACTGCCATATACCACCACTTCACTGGTAGCAGTTGATGCTTTGGGCGTCCGCCATGTCAACTGATAACTTCAGGTGCTGACAGTGTCTTCATAGAAAAAACAATTCGCAGATAGGCTGTTAAGCAGCAAATATAAAAAGGCTCCATTTGCATGGAAAAGGTTCACTAAATCTGTTCAATATGTCGAATGCAATCTAAAAACAGAAATCAGGACTGCCTGATTTTTTCGTCTTAACAATTCAATGTTGACATAAACGGTAGGCGCAGGTTTAAAAAAAAAAGGATAGAATAGAATCTAGACTAGATCTAGTCCTATAGAATCTAGACTAGATCTAGTCCTATAGAATCTAGACTAGATCTAGTCCTATAGAATCTAGACAAGATCTAGTCCTATAGAATCTAGACTAGATCTAGTCCTATAGAATCTAGACTAGATCTAGTCCTATAGAATCTAGACTAGATCTAGTCCTATAGAATCTAGACTAGATCTAGTCCTATAGAATCTAGACTAGATCTAGTCCTATAGAATCTAGACTAGATCTAGTCCTATAGAATCTAGACTAGATCTAGTCCTATAGAATCTAGACTAGATCTAGTCCTACAGAATCTAGACTAGATCTAGTCCTATAGAATCTAGACTAGATCTAGTCCTTGTAAAGAAAAAGTAAACCATTAGGTCAGATGACAGATCTAACTGCTCAATAGTAAAGTCAGTGTTTTTGGCATGCGTGGCAGTAGATCTAAGTCTATAAGCCAATGCCATCTGGCATGTGTGGCAGTAGATCTAAGTCTATAAGTATAAGCCAATGTCATCTGGCATGTGTGGCAGTAGATCTAAGTCTATAAGTATAAGCCAATGTCATCTGGCATGTGTGGCAGTAGATCTAGTCTATAAGCCAATGCCATCTGGCATGTGTGGCAGTAGATCTAAGTCTATAAGCCAATGTCATCTGGCATGTGTGGCAGTAGATCTAAGTCTATAAGTATAAGCCAATGTCATCTGGCATGTGTGGCAGTAGATCTAGTCTATAAGCCAATGTCATCTGGCATGTGTGGCAGTAGATCTAAGTCTATAAGTATAAGCCAATGCCATCTGGCATGTGTGGCAGTAGATCTAGTCTATAAGCCAATGCCATCTGGCATGTGTGGCAGTAGATCTAAGTCTATAAGTATAAGCCAATGCCATCTGGCATGTGTGGCAGTAGATCTAAGTCTATAAGTATAAGCCAATGCCATCTGGCATGTGTGGCAGTAGATCTAGTCTATAAGCCAAGGCCATCTGGCATGTGTGGCAGTAGATCTAGTCTATAAGCCAATGCCATCTGGCATGTGTGGCAGTAGATCTAAGTCTATAAGCCAATGCCATCTGGCATGTGTGGCAGTAGATCTAAGTCTATAAGTATAAGCCAATGCCATCTGGCATGTGTGGCAGTAGATCTAGTCTATAAGCCAATGCCATCTGGCATGTGTGGCAGTAGATCTAAGTCTATAAGCCAATGCCATCTGGCATGTGTGGCAGTAGATCTAAGTCTATAAGTATAAGCCAATGCCATCTGGCATGTGTGGCAGTAGATCTAAGTCTATAAGTATAAGCCAATGCCATCTGGCATGTGTGGCAGTAGATCTAGTCTATAAGCCAAGGCCATCTGGCATGTGTGGCAGTAGATCTAGTCTATAAGCCAATGCCATCTGGCATGTGTGGCAGTAGATCTAGTCTATAAGCCAATGCCATCTGGCATGTGTGGCAGTAGATCTAGTCTATAAGCCAATGCCATCTGGCATGTGTGGCAGTAGATCTAAGTCTATAAGCCAATGCCATCTGGCATGTGTGGCAGTAGATCTAAGTCTATAAGTATAAGCCAATGCCATCTGGCATGTGTGGCAGTAGATCTAAGTCTATAAGTATAAGCCAATGCCATCTGGCATGTGTGGCAGTAGATCTAGTCTATAAGCCAAGGCCATCTGGCATGTGTGGCAGTAGATCTAGTCTATAAGCCAATGCCATCTGGCATGTGTGGCAGTAGATCTAAGTCTATAAGCCAATGCCATCTGGCATGTGTGGCAGTAGATCTAAGTCTATAAGTATAAGCCAATGCCATCTGGCATGTGTGGCAGTAGATCTAGTCTATAAGCCAAGGCCATCTGGCATGTGTGGCAGTAGATCTAGTCTATAAGCCAATGCCATCTGGCATGTGTGGCAGTAGATCTAAGTCTATAAGCCAATGCCATCTGGCATGTGTGGCAGTAGATCTAAGTCTATAAGTATAAGCCAATGCCATCTGGCATGTGTGGCAGTAGATCTAGTCTATAAGCCAATGCCATCTGGCATGTGTGGCAGTAGATCTAAGTCTATAAGTATAAGCCAATGCCATCTGGCATGCGTGGCAGTAGATCTAAGTCTATAAGTATAAGCCAATGTCATCTGGCATGTGTGGCAGTAGATCTAAGTCTATAAGTATAAGCCAATGTCATCTGGCATGTGTGGCAGTAGATCTAAGTCTATAAGCCAATGCCATCTGGCATGTGTGGCAGTAGATCTAAGTCTATAAGTATAAGCCAATGCCATCTGGCATGTGTGGAAGTAGATCTAAGTCTATAAGCCAATGCCATCTGGCATGTGTGGCAGTAGATCTAAGTCTATAAGCCAATGCCATCTGGCATGTGTGGCAGTAGATCTAAGTCTATAAGCCAATGCCATCTGGCATGTGTGGCAGTAGATCTAAGTCTATAAGCCAATGTCATCTGGCATGTGTGGCAGTAGATCTAAGTCTATAAGTATAAGCCAATGTCATCTGGCATGCGTGGCAGTAGATCTAAGTCTATAAGTATAAGCCAATGCCATCTGGCATGTGTGGCAGTAGATCTAAGTCTATAAGTATAAGCCAATGTCATCTGGCATGTGTGGCAGTAGATCTAAGTCTATAAGTATAAGCCAATGTCATCTGGCATGTGTGGCAGTAGATCTAAGTCTATAAGCCAATGCCATCTGGCATGTGTGGCAGTAGATCTAAGTCTATAAGTATAAGCCAATGTCATCTGGCATGTGTGGCAGTAGATCTAAGTCTATAAGCCAATGCCATCTGGCATGTGTGGCAGTAGATCTAAGTCTATAAGTATAAGCCAATGCCATCTGGCATGTGTGGCAGTAGATCTAAGTCTATAAGTATAAGCCAATGTCATCTGGCATGTGTGGCAGTAGATCTAAGTCTATAAGCCAATGCCATCTGGCATGTGTGGCAGTAGATCTAGTCTATAAGCCAATGCCATCTGGCATGTGTGGCAGTAGATCTAAGTCTATAAGCCAATGTCATCTGGCATGTGTGGCAGTAGATCTAGTCTATAAGCCAATGTCATCTGGCATGTGTGGCAGTAGATCTAAGTCTATAAGTATAAGCCAATGCCATCTGGCATGTGTGGCAGTAGATCTAAGTCTATAAGTATAAGCCAATGTCATCTGGCATGTGTGGCAGTAGATCTAAGTCTATAAGTATAAGCCAATGTCATCTGGCATGTGTGGCAGTAGATCTAAGTCTATAAGTATAAGCCAATGTCATCTGGCATGTGTGGCAGTAGATCTAAGTCTATAAGTATAAGCCAATGTCATCTGGCATGTGTGGCAGTAGATCTAAGTCTATAAGTATAAGCCAATGCCATCTGGCATGTGTGGCAGTAGATCTAAGTCTATAAGTATAAGCCAATGTCATCTGGCATGTGTGGCAGTAGATCTAAGTCTATAAGTATAAGCCAATGTCATCTGGCATGTGTGGCAGTAGATCTAAGTCTATAAGCCAATGCCATCTGGCATGTGTGGCAGTAGATCTAAGTCTATAAGTATAAGCCAATGTCATCTGGCATGTGTGGCAGTAGATCTAAGTCTATAAGCCAATGCCATCTGGCATGTGTGGCAGTAGATCTAAGTCTATAAGTATAAGCCAATGCCATCTGGCATGTGTGGCAGTAGATCTAAGTCTATAAGTATAAGCCAATGTCATCTGGCATGTGTGGCAGTAGATCTAAGTCTATAAGCCAATGCCATCTGGCATGTGTGGCAGTAGATCTAGTCTATAAGCCAATGCCATCTGGCATGTGTGGCAGTAGATCTAAGTCTATAAGCCAATGTCATCTGGCATGTGTGGCAGTAGATCTAGTCTATAAGCCAATGTCATCTGGCATGTGTGGCAGTAGATCTAAGTCTATAAGTATAAGCCAATGCCATCTGGCATGTGTGGCAGTAGATCTAAGTCTATAAGTATAAGCCAATGCCATCTGGCATGTGTGGCAGTAGATCTAAGTCTATAAGTATAAGCCAATGCCATCTGGCATGTGTGGCAGTAGATCTAAGTCTATAAGTATAAGCCAATGCCATCTGGCATGTGTGGCAGTAGATCTAAGTCTATAAGCCAATGCCATCTGGCATGTGTGGCAGTAGATCTAAGTCTATAAGTATAAGCCAATGTCATCTGGCATGTGTGGCAGTAGATCTAAGTCTATAAGTATAAGCCAATGTCATCTGGCATGTGTGGCAGTAGATCTAGTCTATAAGCCAATGTCATCTGGCATGTGTGGCAGTAGATCTAAGTCTATAAGCCAATGTCATCTGGCATGTGTGGCAGTAGATCTAAGTCTATAAGCCAATGCCATCTGGCATGTGTGGCAGTAGATCTAAGTCTATAAGCCAATGCCATCTGGCATGTGTGGCAGTAGATCTAAGTCTATAAGCCAATGCCATCTGGCATGCGTGGCAGTAGATCTAAGTCTATAAGCCAATGCCATCTGGCATGTGTGGCAGTAGATCTAAGTCTATAAGTATAAGCCAATGCCATCTGGCATGTGTGGCAGTAGATCTAAGTCTATAAGTATAAGCCAATGCCATCTGGCATGCGTGGCAGTAGATCTAAGTCTATAAGTATAAGCCAATGCCATCTGGCATGTGTGGCAGTAGATCTAGTCTATAAGTATAAGCCAATGCCATCTGGCATGTGTGGCAGTAGATCTAGTCTATAAGCCAATGTCATCTGGCATGTGTGGCAGTAGATCTAAGTCTATAAGTATAAGCCAATGCCATCTGGCATGTGTGGCAGTAGATCTAGTCTATAAGTATAAGCCAATGCCATCTGGCATGTGTGGCAGTAGATCTAGTCTATAAGCCAATGTCATCTGGCATGTGTGGCAGTAGATCTAAGTCTATAAGCCAATGCCATCTGGCATGTGTGGCAGTAGATCTAAGTCTATAAGTATAAGCCAATGTCATCTGGCA